TGATCTACAGTTTTCTTTCTCTCTCTTTTCTTTTTTTTTTTTTTTTTAATACTGTCTTTGTCTGGTTTTATGATCAGGGTAATATTGACCTCATAAAATAAGTTGGGAAATGTCTCTTCATTTTCTATTTTCTGGAAGAGAGTATGTAAAATTGATGTTAATTATTCTTTAAATATGTGGTAGACATTTTCAGGGAAATCAACTGATCCTGGAGATTCCGTTTTCTGGATCTTTTGAATTGCAGATTTAATTTCAGTATTGTTACATGACTATCGAGAATACCTATTTTTGGTGATTTGTGGATTTCAAGCGATTGGTCCTTTTTTTTCTAAAAATTGTGTATTTTGCTGTTGTTGGATGGAGTATTTCTATATATGTCAATTAGATCATATTGGGTGATTGTATTGATTGGATGTTCTATATTGTTGATTTTTCTGTTGAACTTCTGAGCATAATGTTGCTCATAGAAGTGCCTTGTTACTCTTTTAATGGTTGCAGAATCTATAATGTTTTCTCTGTTTTATTCCTAATTTTGACTATTTATATCTTCTCCTTTTTTGTCCATCTTTCTACAGGTTTATCAATTTTATTTATTTTTTTAAATTTTTTTTAAATTATACTTTAAGTTCCAGGGTACATGTGCACAACGTGCAGGTTTGTTACATATGTATACTTGTGCCATGTTGGTGTGCTGCACCCATCAACTCGTCAGCACCCATCAACTCGTCATTTACATCAGGTACAACTGCCAATGCCATCCCTCCCCTCTCCCCCCTCCCCATAATAGGCCCCGGTGTGTGATGTTCCCCTTCCAGAGTCCAAGTGATCTCATTGTTCAATTCCCACCTATGAGTGAGAACATGTGGTGTTTGGTTTTCTGTTCTTGCCATAGTTTGCTGAGAATGATGGTTTCCAGCTGCATCCATGTCCCTACAAAGGACACAAACTCATCCTTTTTTATGGCTGCATAGTATTCCATGGTGTATATGTGCCACATTTTCTTAATCCAGTCTGTCACTGATGGACATTTGGGTTGATTCCAAGTCTTTGCTATTGTGAATAGTGCTGCAATAAACATACGTGTGCATGTGTCTTTATAACAGCATGATTTCTAATCCTTTGGGTATATACCCAGTAATGGGATGGCTGGGTCATATGGTATTTCTGGTTCTAGATCTTTGAGGAATCGCCATACCATTTTCCACAATGGTTGAACCAGTTTACAATCCCACCAACAGTGTAAAAGTGTTCCTATTTCTCCACATCCTCTCCAGCACCTGTTGTTTCCTGACTTTTTAATGATTTTCATTCTAACTGGTGTGAGATGGTATCTCATTGTGGTTTGGATTTGCATTTCTCTGATGGCCAGTGATGACGAGCATTTTTTCATGTGCCTGTTGGCTGTATGAATGTCTTCTTTTGAGAAATGTCTATTCATAATCTTTGCCCACTTTTTGATGGAGTTGTTTGTTTTTTTCTCATAAATTTGTTTGAGTTCTTTGTAGGTTCTAGATATTAGCCCTTTGTCAGATGAGTAGATTGCAAAAATGTTCTCCCATTCTGTAGGTTGCCTGTTCACTCTGATGGTAGTTTCTTCTGCTGTGCAGAAGTTCTTTAGTTTAATTAGATCCCATCTGTCAATACAAGGGATGTAAAAGACCTCTTCAAGGAGAACTACAAACCACTGCTCAGTGAAATAAAAGAGGACACAAGCAAATGGAAGAACATACCATGTTCATGGATAGGAAGAATCAGTATCGTGAAAATGGCCATACTGCCCAAGGTAATCTGTAGATTCAGCTACCAATGACTTTCTTCACAGAATTGGAAAAAACTGCTTTAAAGCTCATATGGAACCAAAAAACACCCCGCATTGCCAAGACAATCCTAAGTCAAAAGAACAAAGCTGGAGGCATCACGCTACCTGACTTCAAACTGTACTACAAGGCTACAGTAACCAAAACAGCATGGGACTGGTACCAAAACAGAGATATGGACCAATGGAACAGAACAGAGCCCTCAGAAATAATACCACACATCTACAGCCATCTGATCTTTGATAAACCTCAGAAAAACAAGAAATGGGGAAAGGATTCCCTATTTAATAAATGGTGCTGGGAAAATTGGCTAGCCATAAGTAGAAAGCTGAAACTGGATCCTTTCCTTACTCCTTATATGAAAATTAATTCAAGATGGATTAGAGACTTAAATGTTAGACCTAAAACCATAAAAACCCTAGAAGAAAACCTAGGTAATATCATTCAGGACATAGGCATGGGCAAGGACTTCATGTCTAAAACACCAAAAGCAATAGCCTCTTTTTATGGAAGAGGAACTTGAAGCTCAGTTTGAAAAATAAGCCTAGGTTTTCTCTGGCACAAAGTAATCTTGAACTTGGAAGTTAGGTAGCCTAGACTCCAAAATATTGGAGATTTTTACCCTACTTGCAAGATATAGAAATACGAAAAAGAAAAGAGTTTGGGTATAAACATGTTATTTCAAGTCCTGGCTCTGCAGCCTCACCCTCTGTGTGACTTTAGGAATTGAAAGGAACTCTCTTAGATTCAGATAAAAATTGTAACACCAGAAAAGAAATAAGGTGTTAGTGCCTGTTTAACAGAGATTCATGAGAAATAAATGAAGGATCATTTATGATCATCCATCATAATGAAGGATGATGAATTTTGAATGCATCAAAAATTCTTGCCTCCCCCTTAAGATACAGTAGGAAGGTATTATTAATACTTTCCATGGATTTTAATAATGAAACAGCATGAGGAAGTGTGGACTGGGTGTCAGTAGGAAGGAGATGAAGAAGACACTGGGTTGAAGATCTATTCTTATTCTAGCATTTTAGGAGAGCAGAACAGAAGGAAGGTGAATTTAAATTTTTTTTTTTAAATAACTATACAAGACAAGTAGAAAGAAAGATGTAGATGGGAAAACTATTGTTTCTAGAGATACTAGACAAAAAAAATAAAACAAAATAAAAAATAAATAAAACCCCAACTTCACACTTGAGAAATGGTGTTATTTAAATTTATTTTTATTATGTACCTAAGTTAATAACTTTAAAAATTAGCCTACCATAGTGGCACACACCTGTAGTTGCAGCTGAGGCAGGGGGATCACTTGAGTCCAGGAATTCAAGGCTGCAGTGCACTATAATCACACCCTTAAATAGCCACTGCATTCCAACCTAGGCAACATAGCAAGACCCTCTATTTCTCTTAAAAAGTAATAATAATAAGCTTGCTTGTTTAGTATTTCAAATTGTAGAAAGACACTTAGCATAATGAATAGGAAGGTTGTCTGAATATAAAGCAAACAAATACCTTGAATAAATATGTCTGGATTGAAATTGCATTGAATATTTGTATCAGTTTGAGAACTGCCATGTTTTAGGTGTTGTATTTTCCCTTCCACAAATATATTATACATTTCTTTATAATCGTGTCTTCTTTAACTTCTTCAACAAAAGGTTTTATAATTTCTTATATAACCAAATTTTAGTTTTTATTGGGTTTATTTCTAGTAATGCTAGTATTTTTTGTTGCTAGTATGATTGAGATCAGTTTTCTTTTTTTTTAAAATAATTTCAACTTTTCTTTTAGATTCATGGGGTGCATGTACAAGTTTGTTACCTGGGTATATTGTGTGATGCTGACGTTTGGGGTATCATTGATCCTGTCACTCAGGTAATGAGCACAGTATTCAATAGTTTTTTAACCCTTGTTCCCAACATCTCCCCAACCACCCACAGCCCAGCCTCCTACAACCACCATTCTACTTTCTACTTCTGAGTAGAGAGGGGAAATAAGTTCAAGGGATTTATTGTATAATTTGATGATTATAGTTAATAACAATGTATTATATTCTTGAAAATTAGTAGCAGAGTAGATTCTAGGTGTTCTCACACCCCCCCTCGCAAAAAATGAGTATATGAGGTAATGGATGTGTTAATTAACTCAATTTAGCCATTCCACAATATATACATATTTCCAAACATATTGTGCATAAGTATATACGATTTTTTCAATAAAATTAATTAATTATATAAAATTAATGACATTAAAAACAATAAAGAAAATCAATGAAACCAAAAGCTCGTTAATTTTTAAAAACTGATGTATTTCTAGGTAGGGTAATTAAGGGTGTAAAAAGGGAGACAAAGAAAAAGTTAACAATATAATGAACAATGGATACAGACATTAAAATTATAGTAAGAATATTAAGAACAACTCTATAACTATAAATTCAAAATTGAAAACTGCATGCTACCAAAGTTCACTCAAGGAGAAATAGATAACCCCATTAAATTGTTAGTTAATAACTTAAAAAAAAAGCACCAGACCCAGGTGGTTTCACTGGTCGATTCTTCCAAACATTAAATGACAACATAATACCATTCTACACAATCTCTTTCAAAAATCCAAAAAAAAAGGAAGAATCTTTGCCAATCAATTTTATTAGATCAGAGTTATCCTAATATCAAAACCAGACTAAAACATTACAACAAAAGGAAACTAAAGACCAATATCACTCGTGAACATAGAAGCAAAGATCCTTAACAAAATATTTGAAATAAAATCCTGTAATATACAAACAGGATAATACCTCACAGCAAAATGGGGTTCATCCTAGGAATACCAGGCTAGTTCACTATTTATAAATAAATCAACATAATTTATCCTATCAATGGACTGAAAAATAAACACTATATTATTATAGCAATAAACAAAAGAAATTATTTGATAAGTTTCAAAACTCATTCATAATTAAAAAAAAAAAAAGCTTGTAGTGAAGTGCAATTTTACCTTACCTACATCCCTAACAAAGAGTATATATGGAAAACCAATAGCTACTATCAAACTTAATGCCAAGAGACTGAATGCTTTATCTTTAAAATCAGACCACAAGGCATGAATGTCCTTTCTCACTGCTCATATTCAGCTTTATAGTGGAAGTCCTACCTAGCTCAATAATGTAAATAATAATAATAATGATGCATTATTGTTTAGTATTATTATTTTATGTATACGTTATACATATTGCAAATAGATGAACTCTCTTTGTTGGCAGATGACATGATAATCTATGTTGGTTTCACTAAAAAGCAGAGACTGGGCTATTGGGTCAAATTTCATAAACAAATAGTATTATTTTATAGTCTTAGTGTTTCTGAATAAACCAGAAGTTAGACATATGCTACTAGTAAAGGAAATATGTTTGCTTAGGGTGAAAAGAGTGTGTTCACAAAGAATGTCTGAAAGAAAAAACTCAAATCCCCACTTTTCAGAATGAATACCAAGGTCTGTGGTCTTTAAAAAGGTGTTAAACTTCTTTGTACTCTGGGTTTCTCTCCAGAAATATTTTGTAGCTCTTTAGATTTATGCGTTGTTTAGAGCAATAATATTGTCTGCAACATGCTTGGTGAGAAACAGCTGCTTCTCCAGTAGATGACATTATTCTCAGTTGTTGAATGAGCGTTCATTCCTAGAACATAAATAAGAATACCTAAGAATAGCTACATCCACACAACTGGCAATAAAAATGAAGGAAAGTAGTGATCATCTTTTTCAACAAGGTAATCTTTTTTGATGGAAAATTCCAGAAAAGCCATTCCACATGCAAAACCCCAAAACCTTAGCAGAGAAAGGTCCTTTCCAATACCTCACAAGATTGCTTTCCAAAACATCTTTAATCAAAGCCAAGCACTAAAGTTACACAAACACAGAGAAACACACTGGCCTGAGTTACACCTACAGTTTCTGCTTCCCCATAAAACTGGAAGTTCTTTCCCCGCTTATGCTTTCCAGCTTCTCAAATGAAGTAGCACCATACTTGGAGCCTGATTTTTTTAGGAAAGGTTAAGTGGGCCCAAATGCTAATAGAATTTCATGCAACCAAAGAGATGGCAGCTTTCCAATTCTAGGTACTAAGCTAAACACACTGGGGTTAAAACATATCCACATCCTTGCTGAGGAGAAAATGGTCAGAGTGGTCAGACTTACTGTGTAACCTGGTCATGTGACGTCCACACAGCTTTATGGACTTCTTACCATTGTTACTGGTCTGCAACTGGAGATGGGTCAGTGGATAGGAGTGGGGAAAGACTTGTCTTTCTCACACATATAACCCTGAGGAAGGAGCAATCAGATTCATGTAAAAGATGAAGAGAGGAAAAGGAGAAGAGGTATGCACTGTTAATTGTGGAACCCCCATTGGAATAACTCATCAATGCTCATCATTCACTAGCATGAAGCCTCAATGCCTTAACCGTGATATACCCATGTGGTAGTTCTCTGCCAGGATATGCACTCCAACCCCACACTCTATTCCTTTTTCCCCGTATCTAGTCCTCATTATTGCCTTGCTCCTCTTAACTCTTCCATTCACCAAAATTCCCCCACCTCCTCTCCTTTCCTAAGCTAGACTTGCTTCCTAGCCTCATTTTTGGAATTCTCCTATCTCAAACATCTGTTGCTGAGAAGGGAGAAGATAATATTTAGTTTTGGAGGAAGGAGAGGTGGAAAAAGTCACTGAAATGTTGCAGTCTCCTGGTGGTAGATTGCTATTTTCTTTCTTTCCTTCTGATAGTTAATCAAATTTTTTGAAAAATGTATATTTTAAGTCCTTTATTATGCTCAAAGTTTTAAAATTTTGTTGTTTTTCTTCTAGTGAGGAAATATATTTTATTGTAAAGTTAACTTCAATTATATTATCCCAATCTGGGAAATAATTCATGTGTTTTTTTCCTTGCTTGCTTGTTTATGGTAATTTGTGGGAAATGTGTCATTCTATCACAAGTCGATTAATTAAATATCCCTGTACATTTGTACATGGTAAAAAAAAATTACTGAATAAAGCCAATATTGAAATGTCACACCCATTGGAAACATAGCACTAATACGTCATAATGATAAATCTTTTCCATGTCTTCACTGGATGATTCAATTCGATTATTTAAGACAATAATTCAACATCAGAAAATTAAAGAACCAAAGTGATGACAGTAAATGCTTGGTAATGATTAGTGACTCCTTGCCAGCACGCAGATTTCCTCACCACTATAATTCTTGTTTAGCATGGACCCTCTTCCAAGTTATTAGGATTCCTCAGTGATATTCAAATTAAGTAACAAAAGAAATTGGCTCAGTTTATCCTCTGTTTTTATCACTGCAAGCCCAGACACAGTGATTAATCCGGAAATAGCAATTATTTCCCATTTTCCCTAAAAATAACCCTTAGAAGCTGGGCAACTCAGCTCTGAGACTCAGATTGTGCAGTTTGACATCTGATGATTATAATGTCTGCTGACCTCAAACTGTATTGTATGAATTACATAATAACTATGCATACAAAAGAAAGCAGAAATCATGAGGAATATTGTAGTATAAAATCATTAATATTATTTTCTTAATTTCTGCAGAAATATCTATGTACCTTAACTCTGCTTATAATATTTTTGCCATAAAGTAGAATTTCTTTTCATTCCATACAGTACCTCAATCTTTTCCTTTATAGCTTACTTGTTATCACTCATAGGAAGTTATTTTGCCCAAAAACTATGTAACATTCATGCATAATTTATCTTAATTTTTTTCAGTCTCTACATTTTAATATTTAATTCAGCTATAATTTTGTTATAAGGTATGTAACTTAGTTATCTAAAATATTTTTCCCTGGCAAATAATTCCTCAGTTGTCTTTTAAAATGGCAAGGCCAAAATTGCTATCTCCATTTTACAGATGAGTGACAGTAACTTACAGGGCTAAAGTGATAGACAGTGGTTTGGGAGTCAGCTCAAACATGCTCTCAAGAGGCAACTGCAGGTAGCATTTCTGAAGTCCATATTCAAAAAATTGGATATGATAGAAATACACCATGAAAATGAACAAACACTACAAGCTTTCAACTTTCCTCCCTCCCTTCCTCACTCTCTCCATCTTTCCCTCACTCCCTTCCTCTCTCTCCCTCCCTCTCCCTTCTCCCCTCCCCTCCCCTCCCTTCCTCCCACCCTCCCTTCTTCCCTCCCCCCTCCCTCCCTCCCTCCCTCCCTCCCTCCCTTCCTTCCTTCCTTCCTTCCTTCCTTCCTTCCTTCCTTCCTTCCTTCCTTCCTTCCTTCCTCCTTTTCTTTCTCTTTCTCTCTCTCCCCATTTCTTCCTTCTTTTTCTTTCTCTTTCTTTTGGTTCCCTCCTTCCCTTTCTTTATTCCTTCCTTCTTTCATTCCTCTCTCTCCTCATTCCCTTCCTCCCTTCTTCCCTGTTTCCCTCCTTTCCTTCCCTCCTTTTCCTATGTTTAAGGGCTTTGCAAGTTCTCTTTAGTGCACCTGGGTTGACCTGATTTTGCTGTTCTCTGCTATGTGGTTTGGGATGTGGTTTCAAAATTCATACCACCACAACTTATTCAGTCATAATGATCTCTATTTCATTTGAGTAATCATTATGACTTATTGTAGCACTGGAGGACTGGGGAGTGCTTCGGGGCCAAAGGTTGGGTAACACTTAAGAGGAGGTGTTGTCAGCCGTTTGTTAGAAGAGAGACTTGCTGTCTGAAACTTAGTGAGTTGTTGCCTACAGGTCAGTAGCAAGGCCAGGAACATGGCCTTGGATGTAAGATTTTCTGTCTTTCCAATGGAAACAATATGCTGACCATTTCTTTCACTTCCTAATCCTTCATCAAATAGCCTGCCTTCAGAAGGCCATCTCAACCACCACTGACATTGATTGCAAAGATTTTTAAAATTCTCATCACTTTGTCTCTCTGGTCTGACACTAGGGGACTGCTTGTTTGGCCTTACTCAGCCTAGTTGAGCTTATATTGATGTGTATACTCTATTAGATGAGGGGGTGGGTTAACATAACAAAATAGTTACAGTTAATTAGTTCTATTAAACAGTCCCCTCGTCCAATAGAGTCAAACGATTCTGAATCACCGTTGGCTATTATCACTCTTGTCACTACTCCAGTATGACCAACTTTTGCATAGTAATATATATATATAGGTATGTAACTTAGTTATCTAAAATATTATATATAATATATATAATATATGCTGCTTAAATATATATAATGTATTATATATAAGTAATATATATTATATATATATTTTTATATATTTTATAGAGAGAGAGAGAGAGAGTCTTTCTTGGTTGCCCAGGAGTACAGTGGTGTGATCATAGCTCACTGAAGCTTGGATCTCCAGACACAAGCGATCCTCCCACCTCAGCCTCCCTCCTGGGTAGCTGGGATTACTGATGTGTGCCATCACACCCAGCTAAATTTTAGTAAAGACAGTCTATGTTGCCCAGGTTGGTCATGAAGTTCTGAGCTCAAGGGATATTCCCACCTTGATCTCCCAAATGCTATGATTACAGATCTGAGCCACCGCACCTGGCTGCAAAGCAATCTGTAATTGTTACAGCTTACCCTGTGAGCTATAAAGTTGAATTGGAGGTGGGGAAGAAGCATCTCTGACAATACCCCACAGCTTTATGTAACCCCACAGCTTCTTGCGCAAGAGCTTGCATATAGCAGGAGTTCAAGAAATATTTGTGGATTAATGTACAAATGAATGACTGTAAGGAGGCTACATTTGACAAGGGAGGAGGAGACTGGACAATGAGGATCCAGGAGACACCAGTAGGGAGGTACGGATAAATCTTTGAGATGGGAGAAAGGAGAGGCTGAAAGTGATAAGGATATAGGAAGCCCGGTGCAGGCAGAAGACAGAATCCAAAGAGTTGCACACAATGCAGGTGTGTAAATGTGGACATTTAACAGGGATGGCATATTTAAAGTGGTGTATTTTGAGATTTTCATTTGTTTTCTTTTCACTACCAACAAAGCGGAGTGTAACGATTAATTCTCGAAGATGTCTAAGCTGGGAAAAGGAAAAGAAAGTATTCATAACTGTCAAACAATGAATAATGGACATTTATTTGACAGTTCTTGAACATTAAAATTGAACTAAGTTCTACATTATAATATGAAGTAGTTATAACAGGTGTATAATAAGTTTCCAAACATTATATGTCATTACTATGATGTGAAAATAATACCAAAGATCAGTACTTTCAACACTTGAATCACTTTGCAGTTGCAGTGCGGCAATGTCAACTCTATGTACTGATTGTCTCTGAGTTTTTAACAGTGTAAGATGGTATAAAAATCATCCATAATATCTGTAGTATTATCCAACTGTGTGTCTCACCAGCTGTGTAACTTCAGGTTAGTCCTCATTACCTCTCTGGGTTTAAATTTCCGTATCTTAAAATGAGGTTCAAGCTGGAAAATCCATCAAGTTCCTTTCTGCTCTAGCATCCATTGATTCTAGGATGTACGATTATGTCACGTAAATATGGACAAGTCGTTCTTTTTCATTCCCCTCTTTCCATGAAGACAGGCTCCTTCTCGCTTCATAAGCCTTGAACTTAGTCTAGGTCAAGGCTTCCTGGTCCACAGGAGCCCCCTGGTGGTCACCCTGGCAAACTCTCTTGCTAGATGTTACCTCCCGCAGTTCCCAAATCTTTGGAGGATTTTTGATGCCCTAGAAAGCTTCCTATCTCTGAACTCTAACACCTACAAATGGGTTGATACTACTTTGAATAATCTTTTTTCACCTATGCACGAACCTTTCCTTTTCTCTTACAACCCTTACCCCAAGAAAATGTTTTTTCTTTTCCCTTTACTCTTTAATTTCCCTTCCTGTTTTATTTCTGAGATAAAATTGGGTCATTCTTCTTTCATTATTTAAATGATTTCATTTCTAAAAAATATAATAACTTCTTTTCTGATTACACAAGGAGATACATGCTTGTTGTGGAAAATTTGATAAATAATAAGAAAATAAATTAGACACAATACAGGCATACATCAGAGGTATTGTAGGTTGGTTCCAGACAACTGCAACAAAGTGAATATTCCAATAAAGCAAGTCTCATGAGGTTTTTGGTTTCCAAAGTGCATACAAAGGTTATATTTACACTATACTTTAGTCTATTAAATGTGAAACAGCATTATGTCTAAACAATATATACTTTAATTTAAAAATACTTTGCTGCTAAAAAAAAATGCTGATGATCATCTGAGCCTTCTGTGACTCATAATCTTTTGGCTGGTGGAGGGTCTTGCCTCAATGTTGATGGTTGCTGACTGATCAGGCTGGTGATTGCTGAAGGTTTTGATGGCTGTGGAAATTTCTTAAAATAAGACAACAATGAAGTTTGCTGCATCAACTGATGTTTCGTTTCATGAAAGATTTCTTTATGGCATGTGATATTGTTTGATAGCATTTTACCCACAGTAGAACTTCTTTCAAACTGGAGTCAAACTTCTCAAACCCTGCTGCTGCTTTATCAACTATGTTTGCATAATATTTTAAATCCTTTGCTGCCATTTCAACAATGTTCAGTATCTTCACAAGAAGTAGATCCCATCTCAAAAAAATACTTTCTTTGCTCATTCATACAAAGCAATTCATCATTCCCTGAAGTTTTATCATGAAATTGCAGCAATTTAGATACATCTTCAGGCTCCACTGCTATTTATAGTTCTCTTGCTGTTTCCACTATATCTTTAGTGATGCCTCCACTGAACCCTTGAGCCTCTCAAAGTTATATAAGAGAGTTGAAATCTTCTCCCAAATTCCTGTTAACTTTGATATTTCAACTTCTTCTCATGAATCATGAATGTTCTTAATGCCATTTGGAATGGTGAATCCTTTCCTGAAGAGATTCAATTTACTTTGCCCAGGTCCATCAGCAGAATCACTAGCTATGGCAGCTAAATGCTTACACAATATATTACTTAATTAATAAGAATCGAAAGTAAAAATTACTTCTTGATCCATAGGCTGTAAAACGGATGTTGTGTTAGCAGGCATGGAAACAGCAATAATCTCCTTGTACACTGCTATCAGAGTTCTTGGTTGACTGAGGACATTTTTCAATGAGCAAAAACATTTTGAAAAGATTCCTTTTGGAAGGAATCTTTTTTTCCGAGCAGTGTCAACAGTGGGATAAAAATATTCAGTAAATCACCCTATAAACAGATGTGCTGCCATCTGGGCTTTGTTGCTCCATTTATAGAGCACAGGCAGGGTAGATTTGGTGCAATTCTTAAGAGCCCAGGATTTTTGGAATGATCAGTGAGCATGGGCTTCAATGTAAACTTGCCAGTTGCATTAGCCTCTAACAAGATAATCAGCTTGTTCTTTAGAGCTTTGAAGGCAGGCATTGACTTCCCCTCTTTAACTATGAAACTCCTAGTTGGCATCTTCTTCCAATACTACATAAAACTCTTTTGTACACATTGAATATCTATTGTTTAGTGTAGCCACATTTCTCCATGATCTTCGCAAGATTTTCCGGATAACTTGCTACAGCTTCTACATCAGCACTTGCTGCTTTAGCTGGCACTTCTATGGTATAGATACTTTTTACTTACCCTTTAACATGATAAACCAACATCTGCTAGCTTCAAAATTCTCTTCTACAGCTTCTCCACTCTCTCAGCCTTCAGGGAATCGAGGAGACTTAGGACCTTGCTCTGGATTAACCTTTGGCTTAAGAAAATGTTGCTGGTTTAATTTATCCAGACCACTTAAGCTTTCTCCATATCTGCAATAAGTCTGTTTCATTTTATTATTCATGTGTTCACTGGAGTAGCACTTTTATTTTCCTTCAAGAACTTTTCCTTTGGATTCACAACTTCGTTAACTTTGATACAAGAGGTCCTTCAGCCTATCTTCAGCCTAAGCTTTTTTTTTTTTTTTTTTTTTTTTTTTTGAGACGGAGTCTCGCTGTGTCACCCAGGCTGGAGTACAGTGGCGCGATCTCGGCTCACTGCAAGCTCCGCCTCCCGGGTTTACGCCATTCTCCTGCCTCAGCCTCCGAGTAGCTGGGACTACAGGCGCCCGCCACCACGCCCGGCTAGTTTTTTGTATTTTTAGTAGAGACGGGGTTTCACCATGTTAGCCAGGATGGTCTCGATCTCCTGACTTCGTGATCCACCCGCCTCGGCCTCCCAAAGTACTGGGATTACGGGCTTGAGCCACCGCGCCCGGCCCAGCCTAAGCTTTTGATATGCCTTTTTCACTAAGCTCCATCATTTCTAGTTTTTTAATTTAAAGTGAGAGATGTGGCATTTTTCCTTTCACTTGAACACTTAGAGGCCATTGTAGGGTTACTAACTGGCTTAATTTCAATATTGTTTCTCAGGGAATATGGAGGCCCAGGAAGAAGGAGAGAGATGGAGGAATGACTGGTTAGTAGAACAGTCAGAACACACATAACATTTATAGATTGTTTGCCATCATTATGGACCCAATTTGTGCTGTCCCAAAACAATTACAAGAGTAACATCAAAGATCATTAATC